ATGACTTTTGAAAACTGAAACCCTAAAAAATGGTGGATGTGGTCCCCCACCAACCCACCTCCTCCTCTTCTCAATAATCTTGATTATAATATTGTAGTACAGTCGAAAATGAACGGACTGAATTGATGCACGTTTGTTTGTTCTCTGATGGAATTAGAAAACCCTAGTTTTTGATTGGCTAATACTGGGGTTTTGTCAATCTATTTCAGTCAAATTCTTGAGCCATGGAATCTGATTCATATTGTTTTATTATATAAAATTAACAGTTTCTTAACTAAAAAGTTGATGAAATGCTTCCTCTTAGGGGCTTTATAACATGTTTCTAATCATGTTTAATGTTATCTATTTCTTGGGGTACATGATGAGAGACACTAAATGTACAAGTCGAGTCACTACTAACATATTTTCATCTCGTTACATCATATTTTCTTAGTGAATATGAAGACATTAATATATTTGTTCATACCTAGCTTGACACGTGACTTTTTTTCCATTTGTTAAAAAGAGGAGATAATATGTTAAGGTATCAATATTAATGTATTAAAGGATAACAAGTTTACGATTGCAAATATCAACTTTTGAACTTATTACAAAAATAGAAGACTTAACACAAAATATGTTTTCTTTGTTTCAACTTTCAAGCATGCAGGGACGGATACAGGGGGGGCTGCCCCCCTCCCCCCAACTAGCCTACCCCAACTAAATTTCTTTTAGTTAGAAAAAAAAATTATGTAAAAAAAAAATCATGTATAAATTTTTTATTTTTTTTACGTATTAGCCCGGCATGTAATTCGGTCCTGGATCTATCCCTGCAAGCATGATAATGGAATATTAATCGGGGTAATATTCGTCATGCATGTTTTGATGGACTTATAAGCTAGTCAAACATTCATATAAGCACAAAAGACACCCTAACATATTTATCTTGAAAAGTAGTAGTTGTTTTTCTAGCCATCTCAAGAAAGTAAGCCCCAAAAAATAAAGGGTACCACACCTTTTGGACTTAATTTTTTTGTTTTGACATAGTAAATTATCATTTATCCTTACTTTTTGGATTCATAAAACATCAAACAACATAAAGGGCATTTCGATAATTCCTTGTATTAATTTTACTTAAAAGTAAGTAGAATCCCAAACGCAAAATGTGCTTAATTATACTTACTAAGAATAACTTGTCTAAATGCAAATGTGCCAAAGTCTAGATAGAAAATAAAATAATCTACATTTAGCATGTTTTTCAATACTTCAAATCAAACTGTCAAGAGATTTTCAAAAGAATGTCTTGTACACATTGTACATTAAATCAAAGATCGATATATATATGTCAAGGAGCTTTGATCAAGACGGGACACTATGGTAATGGTTGTGACAAGAATCTATAAATAGATTCAAAATTTTCTTTGACTGTACATGTAAAAAGTGATAGAATATTGTTGGGGATTTACCTCCCCCACAGCCTAGGATTAATGCAGATAACAGAAGGAAAATAGCACCAGCAATTGCAAGATGAAAAGGCAGAAGAAAACATGTATAAACCAGCAAGAAAATAACCAGCAGCAAGAAGTAAACTCCAGATTATAACCAGGAAGAAAACCT